AATTTGTTGTGTTATAAGTTTATTTTGGGCTAAGATAGCATCTGAGCTGTTAAGTTCAAGAACTCCCTTCCTTTGAATTGGATGTCTATCCTGTTGGGCATGTTGGTCTGTAAAGGCTAGTGCATCAATAATTCTGGTGGCATGATCAATTTCTACATCTAACATGGATCCTCCTCCTGCAGCCTCTAATAGCATCTTTGTATCATGTCGCAAGCCAGTATAGAAAATATTCAACTGAGAAACGTCATCAAATCCATGATTTGGGCAACTTCTCAACCGTGACTTAAATTTCTCCCATGCTTCACAAAATTGTTCATTTGCTCCTTGTCTGAAAGAAGTGATGTCAGATTTTGCTTTGATGTAGCGGGATGGTGGGAAAAATCTATTCAGAAACTTTTCTTCTACACTACTCTAAATAGTCAAACTCTGATTAAGATGTGCTTTCAGCCACTCCTTTACCCTACCTGCCAAAGAAAAAGGAAATAATCTCAAATATGTAGATTCAAGATTTGTTGCTCTAAATCTCATGATATCAATCAACTCATAAAAAGTAGACAAATGATTATAAGGGTCTTCATGATCCAATCCAGTGAATTGATGAGCACTAATCAAGCTTAAAAAAGCTGGATTCATCTGCAATGTTTGATCATCCGGTATGGCAATGCTGGAAAAATGTCTTGGACCTTGCTGCATAGCACAATTTCTAAGAGTTCTTCTAGGTGGATTTTGATTTGGATTTGGATTTAGATTTAGATTTGCTCCTTCTTCCGCCATATCTTCTATAATTGGGTCTGGTAAATCAAGTGTGGAAGAAGAATTAGCAGATTCTCTTGTGACTTGTTCTTGAGTTTCCCTTCTTCTTCTACCCTGGTTCCTCCGAGCTGTTTTTTCAATTTTTGGATTAAATTCTAACTGCTCTGAAGATACCTGTCCTCTTAAACGCATAAATCAAAAGAGTAACTCAAGCAAATATTAACACAAACTAAAAACTAAAAATAATAATAATAATAATGATAATAATAATGATATTAATGATAATAATAATGATAATAATAATAATGATAATAATAATAATAATAATGATAATAATGATAATAATAATAATAATGATAATGAAAATAATAATAATAATAATAATAATGATAATAATAATAATGATAATGATAATAATAATGATAATAATAATAATAATAATAATAATAATAATAATAATAATAATAAAAATAGAAATAAAAATAAAATACTTAATAAGCTAAATAAAGAATTCTCAAATAACACCGTTTCCCGGCAACGGCGCCAGAAATACTTGTTGAATTATTGGCAAGCGTACCAAAATTATCAATCGCAGTATAGTATTTCAATTAAATAAAAGTCGATCCCACGAGGAACAATTTTAATGGAAATTCCTAATTATGCTTACTAAGTAGATTAAACAGATTGAGTTTTGCGAATAAGAGTTGAATTGAAATTAAATGACAAAGAAGTGTAAATTGTTGAGAAAATATCAATTAAAGGTACTTAGGATTGACTTCCTTCTTTATCCCTCTTTTGTAATGACTATGTTAATTAAGAACATCAATTAACCTAACAACGTTGATGCCACCTACTCAAATCATCCATGTTGATTCCTCACACATGAAATTCATAAGAAAACCTAATAAATGTTGATTCCTCACACAATTAAGAGATTTTCCAGCATTAGGGTTAGACTGTTAAGCAATTGATACATTCATTCCATTCCTGGAAATTAACGTAACAAATATTATTACCGTGATCTAGGGTTCAAGATATATTTTTCAATCATACCCCAAACATCAAGAATAAATCATTCCAAAACATAAAGGATAAGAATAACATTAAAGCATAGATTAATATCTCAAAATATCACCATGATACAAAAAAGTTCAAAGAAAGTGCACCGAATCCTAAGAGAATGAAGTTAGTCACTCATGTTGGTCATTACAATGCTTTAATTGATGAAGAAGTGAAAAATTGATGAAGATTGGACAAAATCCTAACAATAATCGTGTCTCCTCTCCTCCAAGACTGCTTACTTTTCTCAAAACACACTTATCTTTTTATAAGAGAATTTGGGTCGGGCCTCGCATCATTCATTCGCTTAAGCGTTCTTCTTTCTTTCAATTTTACTCCAATTATGCTTGAGAATTATGTTCCTTACTCTTGTATCAATGTATTCTCGAATTCATCCTATATTGGAAGAAAAATATATTAGAATTATCATAAGTTAAATGACTTCATAATAATTCAAGACATAATTATATCAAATTTTTACCCCTTAACATTCTCGTCAAAGAAGATAATAAAAAAAATATTATCATGGACATGCTAATATACAATTAAAAATACCGAAAAACATTATCACACCGTATTTAGAAAGTCTTAATAATAAAAAAAAGATAAAAAGGTTTAATTTCCATATAAAAAATATCATTTTAAAATACTGATAGATAAAGTGAAAACACAATTATTGACCTGCTATTAAGAAATTTGTCTAATTAATTTGTAAGCGTATATTCCTCCTCAGGTGGTAAAATCCCCATGTAACAAATCAAAACTGTCTCAAAGACATACTTCCATCCCATTAAAATTGATTTGAACATGATTAGACTACTAACAGAGAAGTACCTTTTTGTGGTTAAATGAAGCTGGAATCTTTGGATCAAGAAGGTTGCTTTCCGCATTTAACTGGGTTTTAGGGTTTATGCAACGCGTTAGGTTAAGGAGAGGGGTTTAAGCGATTCTGACGTGGGTCCCACGAAGATACGATCGTGCGTGGGGCTATAACCGGTCAATGCGGAGGAGAGAGACGCTGAAAATGAAGACCATGCATTCCTTTTGCACTTAATCCACCTGCGTATCAGCGCGTGTCATAACATCCAACTTAAGCATGAAAGTTTTAAAATAATTGCATTTTCAGATTTGTTTCATGCAGTTTTATTTTTGTAATTTAAAAGATAAATAGAAATTATTTTTAAATTTTTTAATAATATTTAAAAATTTCTTTGCACCATATAAAATAATATCGACGATAATAATAAATAACATCAAGGATAAAAAAATCATCATGAAAAAAGTTACAAAACCAATAATAAAATATTAATGATTATAAATATTTTTTTGAATTTAAGTATTAATTATTTAACTTATAAAATATAAAAATCATAATCAACTATAATAAAAACATATTGAATTAGAAGTATATTTAATTATTTATTTATTTAATTTCATATTAACTAAAAATATAATTAATTTATATTATATATTTGAGGGACAAACTTTTTTATTTTTAATTTAAAAATGTGAATTAATCAAGTTGTTGAATTTTGGAATTTTCTTAAATAAAATTAACCAAACATTTAGGTTAATTAAGAGATATTTAATAATAATAATGATAATAATAAATAAATGATTTTCATCTTAAAAAAATATTTAAATTTATAGTAGAACATTATATTTGTTTCATGAATCTCATATTATTCCAGGAAAAAATAATTTATATATATTCTTCTTCTAATTAAGACATTAATATTTTGTTTAAGGATAAGAATATTTAGTCTCAAATATTGAAAATTACTTAATTAAGTTATAATTAATTTTATTTTGATATAAAATAGAAAAACTTTTATATATAAATATTTCATTCATTAAAAAAATATTTTTCTTTTTATATTTTTTATAATTTAATATCTAAAACAATAATTATTTTAATAATTAAATAAGAAAATAAATAGAAAATCAATTCTTCATGTGATATGCAGACAACTTATTCATATACGCTAAATATTATTTTTTATTTAAATAATCAAGTTTGGATTCTTTATACTTCAACGAATAATAATAAAAAAAAACGAATAGTTCATCGATAACTTTGATTCATTGATATTAATAGTTTGTTTTAGATAAAATTTAACTTTTTAAATTATTAATTTTAAAGAAAATTCATCATAATTTAACCATTTTAATCTCAAAACATTTATAAAGAAAAATTAGAATGTTAATTAAAGAACGAATAACATAACTATATATATTTTTTCAAAATTAAAGAAAAATAAAATTGAATCACACTTAGATAAACATCAAAATGATACATAATACAACATAAAGATTAAAAAAAAATCACGAACAAAAATATAATTAAATAAAAAAAAATGAAATATTTTAAAATATGAGAAATTAATATATGAACTAGTTCATATGTGACATGTAAATATTAGTTTTAATATGGATATATGTAAAGGATTCATGTTATTAATAAATTAAATATAAATGTATTATAGACCGATGAATATATACATTTAAATATATTATATAATTAGAAGATGTAAATGACATATTTTAATGTAAAATATCTGCAAATGTACTACGGTTGAATGTTATAAATATGTTATGCGTTTATCTTCAAAAACATGAAAAACATGAAAATAAATTTATTATATTTATAATTATATGATGATAGGTAAGAAACAATAATTTAAATATAAAAAATAAAATACATCTATATTCATAAATATTTTAAAAAATATCATATTTAACCAAATTTAACAAAAAATAAATGGCGTAGATTTGGTTGTAGACAGAGGCGCGTGAGATCATGGACGAGTGTCGCAGGTGGGGTTCGCGAAGAGTCCCGCAATTCGTGTGGTACGTACCTAGTGTTCTTTATGAGAAACGATGCACCGACTCGCTGACATGACACGTGCACACGTGCTACCTTAATCTCACGCACTCTAATCCTTTTTCTGTTTTATTTTATTAGATCACTTTTTCTTAATTAATTACTTGGATTTGTACACTTGTGTACGTATTGAGGGTATAATGGTATATAATAATACCTGCTTTGCACGGTTATTCACGTTACATCTCACTCTTTTTTAGTAATATTTTCGTCTGTTTTGGGTTTTGACCAAGGAATCTCCTCTATTCAAAATTACTATGTTGCACTTCAACATTTTTTCTTTTTCTAGAAATAAAATAAGGTTTTAATCATAATCTCCTATATTAAAAATTATTGTAAATTTTAACTATTTAATAAAATATAACATATTTGTTAAATGAATTATAAAATTATAATATATAAATGAGATTAAAATATGTCTTATAAAATAGTTTAATAGAATTATAATATTAGATTAATATTTTTAATGATATATTATGTTATGGGATTATTATGAAAAATGTGATATGTATTTTTAATATTATAATATTATAGTAGGATTAGCAGTAAGGGTAGAATTGAGTATTGATTTGTCTTAGTTAGGAAGGAAACATAGGTTTGGTAACGAAGAAGATGGATGAATCTGTCACTTTGGTGATGCATTCTTTTATAGTTTCAGACAGCAACAACAATAGTCATTGTACTAAATTAATTTTAAGCCCTGACACAGCAACATCTTAATAATGTTCTTTAAAAAATTAGTTCAAATCTAAGCCTCAGAATCCACAGCATCGCTTTTGACCAGTAAAGATTCCCTGCAATGTCATGGTAATCCTCTGTATTTGATGAAAATTTAATTTACGATGTAAAACTATTATATGCATGTCAAGAGTATATGTTGTTGTTGGAGTAGATTTGAATAGGTTCTGTAACATCATTTATTACATTATAATTTGTTTATATTCTTTTGCGTATTTATCTATTATATAAATAAATTAAAATGATATTAATAGTAAAATAAATATATATTATTAATAATAAAAATAAATAATAATTTTAAAAAAATCATTCTATTCTATTTCATTTAAATAACTTTTGTCTTCTACTATTTTTTTTTCATTTAATAAATGGGTAAATTTTAAATCAAATCACATCTTACAATTTTTTAATCAATATTTTAATTTTAATTTAAAAAAAAAATAAAATATCTTTAAAAAATAAAATAGATTGAGATTAAGATTAAATTGTATGTTAAAAAAAAAAGTTTAAAATGAGAAATAGGTGATAATGTCTTTTTGTATGACATATTTTATTATTATTATTATTATTATTTAATGTATGCATAAAATACATCCATATTTTATATTAATAAAATTAAGTAAATGCAATATTTTCTTTTGTTACTAAAAACTTACAAAATAAATAAATAAATAAATATATATATATATATATATAATTTTATTTGATAAACGTTATATTAAAAAAAAAACTTATTTAGCCTCTATGTAAGAATAAAATATAAATTATAATGCATAACATAATAAATATATCACTGTACTTGATAAGCAATCTTGATTTTCATAATAAATCATTATTTGTCTGTATAGTAAGAATTTCAGTTGGAGATTAATTTTTATATTAATTTTTTAAAATTATAAACTAAGTAAAAATTATTTTAAATATAATTTTGAAACAATTATTATAAAATTAATATTTGTATTCTCCATCACATCATAATCCAACTAATTTCCTTTTAGTTGTTATTTAAATACAATTTTTATAAACACTAATAATAAAAAATTTAAAATAGCATTAAAACTATATAAGCACACACTTTCTTATGATTATTTTAACAAATTTCAAATATTTGTCAGAAAATATTACACTTATATTTTTCTATTAAATTATAAATTTTTTTATTTTTTTATGTATTTTTATTAAACACTTATATTTTTCATTTTACTTATCACCTATTTTCATTAACGTTTTTTTCTATCATTATTCATCTTTTTTTTTCCAAAAAATATAAATAAAATATTTTCCAGTGAAAAAAAAATTAGGAAAAATATCTAAGTAAATATGATATAAAATTATCCATTTCATACAATTTAAAGTGTTTAAGAAGTTAAAATGGTACTTGTAAAACTTTATATATTTTTTTAAATGCAAAGAAATATAAATAAGAAATTCAATATAATATATATATATATATATAATAGTTTTTTCTAGTAGTAAATTATTTCTCATAAAATAAACTTTTTATTTTGTTCTTATTATTTTTTCTATTAATTTTTCTCCAATAAATGATTAATATCAAATTAGAAATAAAAAAATGAAAAACTATAAATGAATAATAAAATATAATTATGGAGAACACTTTAGTCTATAAATGCACAAGGATAAAGCAGAAATAAATAGTAATGCTTAGTTGTTAGTTTAGTAAATGTGTAGGGTGAAGAAAGAGGGAGAAAAACAAAAGTGAAATATATTAAAAAGTATTAAAAGTAATTAAGAAATGAATAATGACAACTTGAAAATAAAGCATGACAACCTAGAAACATACATTACACATAATTAGTTTTTTGTAAAATAATAAAAAAATATTATGTAACGATAACATATGAAATAACAATTACACATAATATAAATGATACTTTAACCTGAAAATAAAAGTGATTAACCTAAAAATTAACAACATGCTTAGCTGTAATAATTCAGTTTATAAAGATTTAAAGTAGTTTATAACGTTATTATAAAGATTTTATTATTATTATTTTTTATTATAATATTTGTGTCAGTTTTATAAAACCATCCGTTTTGTAGGGTTTGATATGATTAAAAACAGTCAAAACAATATTTGTAAGGTTATATATTTTTGATCAATTTTAAAATACCAAAAGAAAGAAATGTAAATAAAAAAAATCAATAATTATAAGATAGTTTTGTTTTTCCTATTCCTGTATGATTTCTCTTAAAAACCTTTTATTTTTATTATTTCTAATAATTTTTCGTAAAAAAAAAAAAAAAAAAACTCCATCGTGTAAACTAACTGGTTCCACTTTAGCAGGTCACTTTGATAAAGGATCGAAATCTCATGCAAAAATTATTCCCTCTCCTTGACAAGTGGTAAAGGTACAAAAATAAAGTCAGAAGCTGAAGAAAACCCCAAGTCACCAACTCTTGCAGACTTTGCACCCGCGGAACAAAGAATTTTCGTGGCAGGGACAAACAAAGAAAGGGTAAAACCGTGAAATTGGAAGCAAGCAAGCAAGTAACTCTCTTCTTTCTTCCTCTTCCCCCCCTCGCATGCTCCTTTTTCCTCTCTCATAAAAGCTGTCCCCACAGTTTTTCATGGCAAGATACTCCCCTCTCTCCCTCTTTTCCCTCCCAAAGTAACCTCGTTTGGGACAAACAAAAAGTACACACTGAGGCATAGCCGAGAGTGAAAAAGAGAACAATTTTGAGGAGAGTAGAAAGGAGCGAGCTTCAGACAGTAGTAGTGGATAGAGAAGGTGGAAGAGGTAAAAGTTGTCAAACTGTGAAGTGAAAGAAGGTGTGGGAACAACAAAAGTTTATAGTGAGAGAAAGAGAGAAAGAAAGAGATGGTGGGCTCAGGAACAACAACAGATAGGAGCAAAGAAGCTGTTGGGATGATGGCCCTTCACGAGGCCCTCAGAAGTGTGTGTCTCAACTCGGATTGGACTTACTCTGTCTTCTGGACCATTCGTCCTCGACCGTATGTCTCTCTCTTTGCGTGTTTGTGTATATTTGCATATGCTATACTTGTTTTGAATGCTGTTTTTTGATGTGTTTTCTCGACTGGGTCTTCACCATTTTTCTTGCAGAAGAGTGAGAGGTGGCAATGGGTGCAAGGTTGGGGATGACAACGGCAGCTTGTAAGTGTAGTTTTCCTTGCCCTTAGAGATGAGAAACAAACTGAAAAAGCCATTGCACAACTTTGAAATACTCACCTTGAACAAGTTCTGTGTCAACTCATCATCAAAGTGTTAACAGATGAAAATCTGTGATGGGTCTTGTCGATTCTGAACATGACCATGGTCCCCTCTGTGATTAGATACACTTTTGTAGAATTGATTTTGAAGTCACGTGATTTATGTTTGGATGTTTTTATTTTTATTCTAAAAGTATGTTGGTATTAAAGGTAAGTGCAAAATTTGTTATCCAAGGCATAACCTACTTAAAGTTAATTCATCTCAAAATCAATTTTAGACTGACATGCTAATATTTACTTAGTATAGTTATTATTTTAACGTAATTATGGATGATCTTATATGGACCCAAACATTTACCAAAAGATTGTGTTATTACTGATTTATGATTTTGGTGATTTAATGTTTTGGTGATTTTTGGTGAAGGATGTTGATGTGGGAAGATGGATTTTGCCGGGGAAGGGTTTCGGATTGTTTGGAAGAGATTGAAGGAGAGGATCCTATCAGAAAATCTTTCAGCAAAATGTCCATTCAGTTATATAATTATGGAGAAGGGTGGGTACTGGGTAGGTGTTTATTCATGTTATTGTTATTTTCCTAAATTTCAATATACCTATTTCTATTTGATTTTCTCTTTCAAGTGTTGTTTATTTCAGTACACCATGTTGGAGGGAGTTACAAAATACAAACACAATGACAAATCCTCTCTGCACTTCACTCTGATTTGGTATTGTTTGGTTTTGGGAACAGGTTGATGGGAAAGGTTACATCTGATAAGTGCCACAAATGGGTCTTCAAAGAGCCTACGGAATGTGAGCCTAATATATCCAACTACTGGCAGAGCTCCTTTGATGCTGTATGCATTTCATCCCTCTCGCATTCAATTAAACTTCTCTTATATTTTAGTTTGATATTCCTTTCCCTTAAACTATAGTTTTTCACTCCCAAGTTTCAACAGAAACAAAGTCAGCATTAAATTTAGCCTCTTCTTCTGGTTATGTGTAGCTATTTGGTGATTGATTGTCTCAACTTCCTCTTTCTGATGTTATTTATTGCAGCTTCCCCCTGAATGGATAGAGCAGTTTGAGTCAGGTATTCAGGTGTGTGGACTGAATGAATTTACACCATGCTTTTATTGGTCTCGGAAAGCTTTTTTAAATGTACTCTACTTTCAATCATATCATTTACTTTTATTTTGTGTTTGTTCCATGGTCAGACAATAGCTGTGATTCAAGCTGGGCATGGCCTTCTGCAACTTGGTTCTTGCAAGATTGTGAGTAAATTTGTGTACAACTATTTTTTTTTTTAATCTACTCGATTTAACATTTATTTTTCTTATAATTTAAAATTTACGGCCATTACTTTTCAGCATTCTTATGTGTGGCAATTTATTAGGAGAGAAATGTTATCAACACCTCTCTGGTTATGAGTTTTATTGACTTCTCATAATTTGAAAACCTTGGCAAGGTGTTACATGGAAATTGATCGTGACTATAAATATGAGGTGGTCCTAGATTATACAATAATTTCTCCTAATTAACTCTCTATTTAAAACACAATCTTTATCATTAACAGAAATTTATTGGGACTCATGATAAATATGGATCTCACTCTGTTTCTCATGTCAGCTCCCATAAGTTGTAGCTAATTATGAAATTAAAAGATGTTGAGGAGTGTGTTGCTAACATTTCCCTTCATTCAGCAAATGAATCAGTTTACAGAAACCAAAATATCAAGTGTTTGATGTACTTTCATTTCATTCTCAGATTCCTGAAGACCTCCATTTTGTGCTAAGAATGAGACACACTTTCGAATCTCTAGGCTACCAATCAGGGTTCTACCTCTCCCAACTCTTCTCTTCAACTAGGAGCACTTCCTCTTCTACTTCCCTTCCTTCAAAACCATCCACCATTCCAATTAGGCCACCCCCTCCACTCCTCAACTGGGGTCAGAGACCAATGGGGTCTGCTACTTCTTTGCTACCCTCTCCTACTTTTCAACATGCAGCCAGAATGGGGTTCCCACAGGCCAAAGATGAGACGCATATGTTCCTCATGCCCCATGCATCATCAGAGCATGCAAGAGTGGGAGACATCATGGGGGAGCATGAGAATGACATAAAGTGGCCAAATGGGTTATCCATCTTCAATGCACTCACCGGAAGATCTGATGATGCTAAACTCTTGTTCAATCAAGAGAGCTTGGGGAGCAAACCAGGTGATCACAATCCCCACCACCACTCTCTCAACCCAAATCCCACCTCAGCTTTGCAAAATGCTAGTGTGGCAAACCCAAACGAGTTCTTGAGCTTGGATGGCCACACTGAAGGGGCAAGGAAAGTGGACAAGTTCAAGAGGTGTTTCACTCTACCTGCCAGAGTGGTTTCATCTTCATCTTCTACTTCAATGGATCATCACCATCACCAGCAAGCAGGTGTGGAGTATAGGAATTCAGAAGGAGGTATGTACCAGGATGTCATGGAGACCTTTTTGGAGTGAATTAATAAGGTAAGTTGCGTTTGGAAAATGAAGATGAAAAGTTGTATTTAGGCATAGTTATTCTGTGCTCCTTAATTTTCATGTGTTAAACTTTTTCACTTTGTATCTTGTGTTTTTCTATGTCAGAGAGACTTGATTAATGGCAATTTCTTTCTTTTAGTTCGATTAAACATGTAAGTTTTCATGCTTTCTTGCGTACATATAATATCCATAAGCAATATATGATGACAATGTTTTTTTAAGGTAACAAGTAATTTTGTCGGATTTTGAATGATCAGTATAACCAAGAAAATTGGGCACCCACTTCAATTTCACTCAAACATAATTGTGATTTTAATTTAATGAATTATGTTTGATTTTTTTTTTTTACCTTGTTTGATTTCTTAGCATTTACTATCTTCCCCACATTTACTCTACAAAATGTACGACACAAGGATTCTGCTGTACATGTGTTCTTTAAGAGAAAAAGCTAAGATTGCACCGGAAAAGTTTGAATTTTTTGGAAAGTCGAAGGTGGCTTAATATGATAAACTTTGATTCCATAACGAATTTGAGTTGTCCATAGCTTAATTCTCAAAGTTAGTAAGTGGGGATAAATTTATCTCATAATTTTTTTCAAATTTTCAATTTTAAGGGAAAATTGTACATATTTTTATATTAAATATTCACATTCCTTTTTTTAATGAGATAATATTTATCTTTTCTATAAATTTTAATTATGTATATACTTTTTTCATGTTTTAATAAATAATATTTGTTTTTGTTATGTTTATAATAATCCAATACTTATTTTTTCTTCTTTTATTTATATAAAAGTATTTTTTTATGTTATAGAACACTCTTTAATTTTTATATTTTATAACTTTAATCTTCTATAATACTCTTCCAACATTTTTGAAGTTTTAGTCAATATAATAGTTTTTAAAAAATAAAATAAAGAGATTGTGAGTTCATTAAAATAAAAAGAGAAATAAATATCTATTTATAATTAGAAGAGATTTGAATATCAGTTTATTTAAATATATATTTTTTGTTTCCAGATTTTTATTTAAGATAGTGAGATTTTTTTTCTATTTTCATTATCTCTATAAAAATATTCAAAATTAAATGACAAATAAAATTTAAACAAAAGGCGTTTAATAGTTGTGGGTTGTTTTTACTACGTGGGCCAAATTAGTTAGGCCTGTAATGTAAAACTAGTACTAACTTCATTTTCGGTCTCAAAAATATCAATTAATACCTTTTTTTTATTACAGAAAGATTAGTATAAAAGAATATATTTTAGATTATTTAGTCTAAAAAGTTAGGAGATATTAGCTGAGATTTTTGGACTAGAAAAAAAAACGCAGTAAAACTTAGCTCGTGGAAAAAAGTATGGCATGTAAGTGCTTTTAAATTTGCACTGTAATACTAAAATTAAATAGTTGTTGGAAAGACATTGTAACTAAAAAATTATATATAAATAATGGATTAAATTAAATGAAATGACAGTAATTTTAACTTTATAATTTATTTGATATTTTATAATTTCAGAAGTTACTATGATATTGTTCAACAATTTTAGGAACTGAAAGGTTATTCTAAAGATGAAACTGTGAATATTTATAAAAGTGATAATTGGAGTAAATAAGTGACTTTTTTTCATAAATAATACTGTTTTCAAAAATATTTACTCAAATAGCACCTCTGCAACTTTATTTACACAACTAGCATTGTTACTTGTTCACGTAATAAAATAATATTATTTTGCGCATCTGTTCACTGTTCACTGTATTAAAATAATATTATTTCGCGTACTGAACTCTCGCTCAAGCGAAGAAAACCTTCGCTTGAGCGAGGAAACCTGTAACAAAGGGGTAATCTGGGGTAAATTCTCGCTCAAGCGAAGGTTTTCTCGCTTGAGCGAAAAGTATGATCGACTATTATCCAATTATAGTCGATCACTTTGACATATATGACTTTAGATAACGGTTATTTGGTCAACCGCTATCTAAACTACTACATTAGATAGCGGTTATTTGCCCACCCGCTATCTAATATAGTAGTTTAGATAGTGGTTGGCCAAATAACCGCTATCTAAAGTGACTCAAGCGAAAATCACACCGCTTGAGCGAGGACACCTGGAAACAAGGGGGACTCTCGGGTTCTGTTTCGCTCGAGCGACGCGGACTTTCGCTCGAGCGACAAAGTGATTGAAATCTGTTTCAATCGATTATAACGTATTTCAATCGATTAAAATAACTTGGAAAAATTTTGTACAGAGTTTCAATCGATTAAAACGCGTTTCAACCGATTAATACAACTTCGAAAAAGTTTGTACAAAGTTTTAATCGATTAAAACTTCTTTTTATCAGCTAAAATAACTTGGAAAGTTTTTATAAGAAAGTTTTGCAGTATATCAATCGATTAAAACACGAAACAATCGATTGAATAAAACTTAGAAAAGTTTTGTAAAGTGTTTTAATTGATATAACCGTGGTAGTATCACCTAAAACAAATCTGTTAAAGAATCAAAAACGTATTAATGGATTGAAATGACTTTTAACAGATTGAAACGGCTATTTTAACAGATTAAAACAAACTTTCAACAGATTAATTAATGCAGCAGTTATGAAAATACTCTTTAAAATCAGTTTGCTTGAACTTTTTAAACATACATTGAGCTGAAGATTTAGTGTGTCTTAACAGAAAGTTTCCGCTGCATAAAGTTTTTTCATCATTTTGCAAAATGCCTCAAAAATAGTTTTAAACAAACCAAAAACAAAAGCATTTTGACAAAGAACTTTCTTAATAATGTTTTTAACTGATATAGTTTTAAAAGAAATAATTAAAATTACTTAGAATGTTTAAAGAAGTGTTTTTACAGTATTTTAATCGATACAAACTTCTTTTAATCGATTAAAACCACTTTGGAAGTCAGGATGATCGATCAGAATGAAGTTATGACCGATCAGAGGTGGTTATGATCGATCAGAATTGAATTATGACCGATCAGACCTATTTCAATCGATTAAAACGCATTTCAATCGATTAAAATAACTTGGAAAAACTTTGTACAGAGTTTCAATCGATTAAAACGCGTTTCAACCGATTAAAACAACTTAGAAAAATTCTGTGCAGTTTTTTAATCGATTAAAACTTCTTTGTATCAATTAAAATAACTTGAAAAGTTTTATAAGAAAGTTTTAAAGTAAATCAATCGATTAAAACGCGAATCAATCGATTGAATCACTCTCAGAAAATGTTTGTAAAATATTTTAACTGATATAAACATGGTTGGAGGGTTGGTCTTTCCACCAACTAGACGTAAAATCTGTCTTTCCAAATGGCTATTTGGAGGAGGAAATATATGTAACATAGTCAAAGGAGAAGAGCACAAGGTATACAGGCATTGGAACTATTATGCATCAGATGAAATACTCACGTGATATTCTTAGCAGGTTCGGGATGAAGAATTGCAATGCTCGCGAGTAAACTCCAACGGAAATGGGTCCGAGATTAGAAAGGGGCACCGAGGAGGAAGATGTTGATCACACAGAGTTTCGCGAGAATCATTGGAAGTCTAAGATACCTGTGTAACACCAGACCCGTGGTAGCTCTCTCCTCCTGTCAAGCAGAGTATATAGCTGCTGCACAGGCTGCATGTCAAGCTGCATGGCTCAGGATGCTGTTGAAGGAGCTGAATGCGAATTGGTCCAACCACCAACATTGTTTGTTGATAATAAGTCTCGCAATAGACTTAGTTAAACACCCATCAGCTCATGGAAAAAGCAAACATATAGAAATGAGGTTTCATTTCTTGAGAGAGCAGGTTAATGATAAGAAGCTTGAAATAGAACACTGCAGTACAGAAGATCAGAGTGCAGATATCTTTACAAAGCCTTTGAAGGCTGCTAGATTTTGTAAACTCAGAGAGTGTCTGAGAATTGTTCAGTTTTGACTTAAGTAGGCATGTTGAGATTTAAGTCAAAATGCATGATGGGTAGTTACGTGTATGGGTATTACGTGCATGGGTTTCTTTCAGTTTTTTTTCTGTTTTGTTCACGTTCTCTGTTCTACTCTGTTATTTGTTATTTCTACTGTATATAAACATTACAGTTTTCATACATCAATAAAAGGAATGTACTTCAGTTTCTATCTGTAGCTCTCCCATTTCAGATATAACGAGAGTCCCCCTTGTTTCCAGGTGTCCTCGCTCAAGCGGTGTGATTTTCGCTTGAGTCACTTTAGATAGCGATTATTTGGCCAACCGCTATCTAAACTACTATATTAGATAGCGGTTGGACAAATAACCGCTATCTAATGTAGTAGTTTAGATAGCGGTTGGCCAAATAACCGCTATCTAAAGTCATATATGTCAAAGTGATCGACTATAATTGGATAATAGTCGATCATACTTTTCGCTCAAGTAAGAAAACCTTCGCTTGAGCGAGAATTTACCCCAGATTACCCCTTTGTTACAGGTTTCCTCGCTCAAGCGAAGGTTTTCTTCGCTTGAGCGAGAGTTCAGTACGCGAAATAATATTATTTTAATACAGTGAACAGTGAACAATTGCGTAAAATAATATTATTTTATTACGTGAACAGTAAACCGTGCTAGTTGTGTAAATAAAATTGAAAACAGTATTATTTATGAAAAAAAAGTCTAAATAAGTTGAAGTAAAACATATTCTAAAGATGTCAAATACCATGTCACAGTGCACGTGACAGTGATGGGTCTTGTACTGACATTCTTGTCCCCCAATAATGAAATTTATAATAAGATCATTATCACACCACACGAAATCCAAGGCAAAATTATTTTCTTCAATGGTCAGTCAAATTCAATCCACTCTTTTGCTCATAATACAGTAATTTCTTCGAGACCCAAAACCAAAGTCTGTTGATTTTTTTACAATAAACAATTTCAAGTGGCAACCACATGATCAAGTCCTACTATTTCATATATATATATATATATATATATATATATATATATATATATATATATATATATATATATATATATATATATATATGTCTTCCCAAACTCCCATGACTTAAAAACAAAAAAGAAAACGAAAAACTAAACAAAAGTTGCAGAACCTAACTATTCACATTTTCCTTCCACGGTGGTCACATCTCTTTTTCTCTAACCACCACACTATCTTTGGATCGAGATTCAAACATCTTAAAATACTAAGATACAGTGAAGGGATGAACATCTTTCAACACAAATCTTTTTGTCGTGATCGAACTCTTGATCACATTTGTTTATAGATAAAGCTATGACCAATTATGTCACGACATGTATGTCTTTCCTACGACTCTTGGACGGTTCCATGGCATGGCATTCTCTACAAACCATCACAAACCACCGTAGAATCCTCCTCCCAAACCTCAACCTCACCCCTTTATTCCCTGTCTCCTTCTTAGTCTTCTTCTTGTTTTTCTTCTTCTTCTTCTTGGTCTTCTTCATGCTCCCATTGTCCTTCTCTTGGTTCGTGTCCCTTCTTCTTCTCAAGGAGCCTTCACGGTTCAAAGCTGGCACGGGAGTTATATACTGCCACCTTTGTGAGCACCCATATGCTTGATAATGTGATGGAGTTTTTGACCTGATTGCACAACCCTTGAGCTTGTTGTGGAAGGATTTTCTCTCGGAGCTGTCGCTGGAGCTGGTTCTGGCGCTGCTGCAGCTGCTGTTCGTGCTGTTGCTTCGTGAGGAGAGAAGGGAGTCTCTGGTACTGCTGGTGCGACTGGTGGGGAGGGGAAAAAAGTGGGGCTGGAGACGGCCATTGAGGAAGAGGTGGTCCGCCGGGGAGGCGGCGAAGGGCTCGGCGGAGGGGGAGTCCGGCGTGAGGGACCCGAACTCGAAGTCCGAATCCGGCGTCGGCGTGCTCGGAAAGGAGAAAGAGTCCCCGGAGGAAGGGTGTATGTTGTTGTTCTTGCTGTTCTCCATGGAAGAGTTGGTTGTCATCATAAGGAAATTAGGGTTTATATATGTGTAAGTTAGAGAGAGAGGGTGTGTGTAGGGGTATGATGGTGAAATTGGAAGCTTGTTTGTGGGGTTTTGATGTTGGACATGTGGAGTGAATCAAGGTCTTTGTTGGTTTGAATTTGAGAAGCTTTGGGGGTGGTGTAAATAATGTGAACCATTGAGATGCCAACTAAGATTTAGGGTTTGAGGAATAATATTGCATGGTGGTGGTGTAATGATGTTGTTAGCTAACTAGCCTACGTGAGATGTGTCACAAACAAGAGTGTATTGTGTATATATGATGTTGAACTTTAGAGATGTTAGCAATGGAATTATGAGCAATGATAAATACATACTTAATCTTTAGGGTGTAAGAGAAAAGAAGAAGACTAATAAAAGTACCTAGATAAGGAAAAGATAAGTTTCTCAACATTTGCTGAATATTTATTTATTATCTTAAGTTTGAAGGTCCTGGTTTGAAAGAAAGAAAAAAATGTGTTCAAAGATGCTATAAAGAAATGTGTCAATGGATGATGGGATTTGCAAGATAAATTATAGTCTTTGGTTGCTTATTTTTAATTTATAAAAAGATGTTGGTGGCTAATGAGTGATTATGATAAAGTGATAGTGGATTTGGAAAGTAAAAATATGATTAATCATCTTGTCTCTTGGCCACAATACACGTGGAGAGAGGATCTATTGACATCGCTTATAAGTTTGACAAAATTATACTTTTAACGATTTCCATCCATCACAGATTTTCTCAATTGAACTCATAATGTGTTATTTAAAAATTAATGATTTAAAATATTGAAATAATAATGTCATGTGAATTAACAATTAAAATTATAAAAAAATATATATTAAAAAAGCACGTTTCCAGAAAATGATAATACAAGAGATATAACCTCAAAGGCATTGATTTTTCAAAAACTATTTGGTGGTCCCCACTAGTGGGGTGGTGAATTGGGTATTTATTTAGCTTTTTGTTTTTGTAAAGGACACAGAGTCCCAAATATGCCCTTTCCTATAGAGATAAAACAGAAAGAAAAGGAAACTAAAGAAAGGTTCATTCTTTTAAAACACCAAGGAATGGTGGGATCACCATTGTAGCTAGCTTTATTTTGTAGGAGGAAGCAAAGCAGAAGGGTCCAATTGTCTTTGAGAAAAAGAAAATGGGATGAAACATTAGGAGAAGGAGTGTGATTTTAATGATCAAAGACCTACTTTTGATTACTCCTAAACAAACAAGGGGACAAAGTCACTCATATAAATATTCTTGGTCTCCTATTCAAGTTTCTATGCCCTTACACATGCCCCATTTCATCTCATTATACCCTTGGGACCAAGACTCTCCCAGATTCAGTCTTCAATTTTTTTATAAAATTTCTCCACCACCCACCAAAGCAAAGTGCCAGGTCCATGGATTTCAATACAAAGCTGTTCAAGGTTTCATCACAACTTCATAAAATTAATACATTGCTTTCACTCTACCATTGTTTATAAAATTTGCAAAATAACAGGGTAACAACTAAGCAATGTCTATGGTATAATCTAAATAACTTTTTCTTGAACCATTTTTACATTTCCCTCTCTCTAATGAATTTAGTTGAATACTTTTTATGACCAATTTCTTGTGGATCCACAAAATAATCGGTAGAATAAGATGGATTTTGGGTTTTAATTGAAGCTTCGTCTCACTCTGTCGATGTAGAAGAGAATGGCTGTTTCTTCCTGTATTCTTATATTTTCTTCTTCCGGTTATCTCATATTTATTTAAAATAATAATATTGTTCTTAACGTAAATAGCTTTTAAAAAGTTCATTTATTTTTTTTTTAGAAAATTTTCGGAAAGTTTTTTAAATAAGGGTATTTTCAAAAAAAAATGTAGGAGAGTAATCCAATCAATTTTAAGAAAATTGATTTTGAAAATGAGTTTTTATTTAATTTTTTGAAAATATATTTTAGATTTTCAATAATTCGAAATATATTTTTGAAAAAAAGAAATCCAGAAATGAATTCTAAAGCGTTGAATCTAAAATAGATTTTATGAGAGCACGGTCCATAATTGAATTATGAATTGTTAGTCTACCAAAATCAGAATTCATTTTTGGAGATATATTATGGATTTAATAATTCAAAATACTACTTTGTAAATTAAATCTATTTTTTTAATGAAATTTTAAAATATACAACATGTTATACTATTTAAAATACAAATTACTAACAATTTCTAATATCTTTAGAGTGAAAAAATGATGTTAAATAAAGTCCACGAGATTTGTCTGTTAGTATAAAAATGTAATGTGAAAAAAAAATTAACCTCAATATATTTTTAACATATTATATATCTATTTATATATATATATATATATATATATATATATATATACGAAATAAAGAAAAAAATTATTAGAATACACAAAGAAACAGACAGATACATTCGTGGTCATTTCAAATAAAGAAAATGAGTAAACAATGAGAAACACCAGATTCAATAGATGAAAAATAGGTCTTTGGAAAGAAATAAATCATGATTCTCACATCAAATTCTCAACCAAAGATAGAAGGAGCTATAACTTAATTTGAGTTTCAAAAATCATTTTTTTTAATATGTGAGTATAACTCTTGTTCTTAAATTTTATATTATTTTTAATAATCAATTGGTGATTTATTTTACGATAAGTTATAAATCACGATATGTATATTTCTTTTTAATTAATCTTCAATTTTTTATTTTTTTAAATATTTATCACATTATTTTAACAAATTGACGTTGAAATAATTTAATTTATTGAAATATTCTGAAACTCAAATTTAAAAAGATACTATTTTAATGACCCTTACATAATAATACAAATGACTTAAAATAATTATTTATAATTTTATAAAATTAAAAATTTAACATTTCAATTAAAAAGTTATGTTCATTAGTTTTGTTTAAATTTCATCAGTAATTATTTTCAGAGTTTTATATAAAAAAAAAAAAAAACCCTCCGTAACCCATCATCAAATTCCAAAATCAAGGTCTGAATTGATATTTCCCTTTAAATGATAAAACCCTGAAGTCACAAAACCTCTGGTCCCATCTGCAATCACCAGAGAGTAGAAGACGAAGACGCGCCTGAGAAGAAAGAAGAGTGAGAAGGATCTGTTACGCATGCGAATGATAAGTGAGGTAAACGATCAAACACTGCTACTAATTAAGGTTTTACAGTTGAAAATGTGTAGTTTTATTTAATTATTTTCATTTTTTTTGCGTTCGTGAAATGTTTCGTTGTGGAAGATCTGGGGTTTGTTTGTTTCTGATGCTGACTCTGGTAAACTCCAGGCGTACACTCTCATTAAACTTTTTATTCTATTATACTTTTAGATCTTATTGATATTTACTCTCAAAATCAACACCGATCAAATAATTAATTTTTCGTTCAAATCCAGTTTCAGTGTTTATTTTTCATGAATCTTTCTCGCTAAAACATTCTTATATCTGTTTAGTCACAAATTTGTTGTGGTTATAAACCTTCACTTCATTTATTGACCATCAATAGTCACCCACAATCCAGAATTAATGGTAAGAATTGAGTTAAACATTAAAAACTGATCATGCAAATAGTTATTTTTCTTATCACACACCTATCTGCACAATGTATTAAGTATGACACTAAAAAAAATACATGTCTCATAAAGTTTGACGAATTATTAAAAAGATATAGAATCTCGTATTAAGATAAATTAATATTAAATAATTGTGTTTTATCTTATTTACTTATTTTGTTGGACTAAATTGAAGTATTTTGTCTCTAGAAATAATTGGTAAAATTTATGGTCTAACTTTTTCATAATCTAAATTGTGTTAAGGGTTTTTGGATTTCTGTTCCATGATTTTCTCATATAGAATTTTACCCTGACAGAATGCAATAGTTTAGTTTTGGCTGAATTTATTTTTGAAAAATATTTCATTAAAATACCTAAAATAATTTTTATTTTTTACATTATCACCTTTGTTTAAATATATAAAAATATATACTATATACAATGAAATTTTGATTTTGATACTCCTCGTTTAAAACATTTTACATTTAGATGAGATGAAAAGGTATAACACTGAATTTATTATTTTACATTATATTAATAAAATAAACTTTGAGCTGACAATTATAATTTAGCTATGATAATATTTTTTAATAAATTCATATGTTTATTAATATTAATTAATTAAACAATTTTTTACAAAAATATCTAATAAATACAATTAATTTATATTAATAAAAAGTTTAAATTAAAAATCTAATTAATTTAATTTTTATAATAAATTTATTTTAGTAAATTAACATATTTATTCATGATAATAAATTTAATTTTATTTTTCTAATATATTTATAATGTTATTACTTTTTCTAAATTTAAACAAGTAATAATAAATTTCCAAAACAAAATTAAATTGATAATTTTATTGATACATAATACATTTATATATTTTTTAAGAATATTAAATTAAAATAAATAATAACAATAAATTATATATATATATATATATATATATATATAAAGTTATCTATTTAAAATAAATTAACAAAAATAATAAGAACATCTTCAAAAGACAATTTTAATAAAAATTATTTAAGAATAAATATCGTTATTTGATTATATATCTCATATATCACTACTTTAAAACTTAATCAGAGTTAGATATTTTAAAAGAAAATTTTTAGTTGTGTAAAGCTTAGTTAGAGTTGAAAATCTAAAAAAAAAATTAACCAAAGAATTGTTTAAAAATAAAATCAAATATTTTATTATATACTAAAGGTTGTAACTTTTCTACTTCAACTAATAATTTAAATTTAGTAAACTCTTTGTTATTATCGTGGGGTCCTAAACAATTTTATTCTAATTTTAAACTACTCAAACTATAACTTATAATAAAATATTTATTTTATTTCTAAGTAATGCTTTTCAAGTAATTTTTTCCAATTTTAAACAATTTTTTTAATTTTAAATATTTTTTTTAATTTTAAACAATTCAAATACATTCTATGATAAATATTATTTTTATTTTCTAAACAATTTTACCTATATCCTCCTATATTATTTTACCCATATCCTCCTATATTATTTTACCCAAAATTTTAGTTACTGATTTAGCAATTTAGATAAAACATTAAAATTGTTATTAATAATTCAACAAATACGATCTTACATGGATAAATAATAATATAATTTTAACTATTATCTTGGCTAATAATAATATTTTATTAATTCATTGTTTCAATATAATAATAAAATAAATTTTCTATAATCTAAATATATTAATATTTTTGATAAAAAAATTCTATTTACAAAATTAAAAGAACGTTTAAAACAATTTTTTTAAAATACATTCCTTAACACCTTTTAAAAAGAAAAGAAAAAAAAAGGAAAGGAAGTGCGGTAGAGTTGGAGGAAGCCAAATTTTACTTACATTTCCAGTGACCATGTCGACATTAAAGGTAGAATTCTGTGAACAGATTCTGTAAATATTAGTATTTAGGGTTAATAGTATTTTAATAAATTCTAATATTTAATATATTAACAATATTATAGTAGAAGTCTTTTAAATAAGATCTCAATTCTAATAAAAACGTATGGATTATGTAATTTTATTTTTTGAAAAGGAAAACCGATCAACGAGACAGCGCCACGTGTAGCGCGAACGCGTCTTCGTAATTGCGACGTATGCGGCATGGTATTGGCATGTATCAAAAAGTCGTGTCAACGCGACAATGATCCTCATCATCATCACCTTTCACACAACTCAAGTCTCCTCTTTCTCTTTCTCTTCCCTTCCACCCCTTCTTTCTCTGCCTCTTCGCCTCTTCTCTTCTCTGTCTTCTTCTTACGCAAAATATTCATTAAAAAACACCACCGTCTACGTGGCCTCTCTCACTCTTATCTTAAATCTCTATATAAAACCTTCGCCATGACGGGCAAAGAAATTTTTCATAAGATGAAGGTACCCTTTTGTTTTTTAACCTTTGGTATCATCCTAACTCGTTCTTTCGTTGCCATATTTAATTAAATTGCTACCTCGCCTGTTTTATTTTAATTTTGTTCACTTTTCTTTGGCTTTGTTTCCATCACAATATAACAATAACAATTTGGCTTCTGTTCATTTGTCGGTGTTGATCTTTGTCAATCAGTTCAGTGGTTGCTTGCGCTGCTCAGGCTTGATAAACCCCGTAATTATGATTCATGCTTTTTGTGGTTGTGAATGTAGTTTTACTATGGTGTGTAACACGCGTGTGTGCCTACACTTTCTTCATTGACTGTAACAGTGTCTTGTTTTCACTGTTTACCTTTCTGGATTCTATATTCGGATCGAAAGTGGCAGGATAGTCCCACTTTGAACAGGATGAGCTACATTGAATAGGATGAGTTACTTGTGGTACTTGAACCTTTGAATTTTCCCTCTTGAAAGTCTAGTCTTTAACAATTTGGTGTTTTATTTGAGAATTGAACTATAGGATCTATAGGTTTTATTAAGGTTAAAGTCATCTTAAAGAGAAAAACCATCTATACCCTAGATTATGGTTAAAACCATCCTAAAGAGAAAAACTATCAATAGGTTAGATTAAGGTTAAAGGCATCTTAACTAGGAAATGACTATCCATTAGTCATGTCGATTGATGATGTAACTTGTGTGATAAGTGATCATAAGTTTTTCTTATGGAAGTACTCTTTAGCGAAGGAGTCAAATACTAAGATTCTGTCCGGATTCAAAGTTAGAAGATTTTTTGAGAATTTTTCTATTAGAAAAAAGCTCTATATTCTCAACAGAGAAGCTCCCACGAACTCTTCCAGTATATATCTAAATAGGCTCTAATTATTCATGATACTGAAGATGAATTCATTTAAGACTTGACCTTTTCTAGCAGATATTCTTTTATTCACGAACCTTAATTTTATCTACAATATTATATCATATGCTTTGCCGATCACAAGTATTATTAGTTTATGTTAGACGCATACAATTTATTTCAACATCATTGTCAAGATTTATTCCACAGCCACCATGGCCTACAATATCTCTTGGTGGCTCACTTTTCATAATTAACTTTTATTGAGGTTTACTTCCTCTGTTCATTTGTATAATGGCACTGCAGGTTTATACGGCACAACAAATCCAAGATTTTAGAGTATTTACTCAAGCAATTTGCAAAAACTATTGTGCTTTAGTGTGTGAATGATCATATTTTAGGTGCTAAGTTTGTTGATTAATGGAGATGGTTGGGAGGTTACTTGTCACAGTGATTAGGAAATATCAAATTTTATGTGGTCATCTGCAACTTCAGAATCAAATGCTCCTCCATCACTGTTGGAGGGTGAATCACGGGTTCAATACCCCAGTTGCTCAACATTGTGTTTTTGACCATTGGAACACATGAGGAATGAGAAAAGTCAGTTATAACCCTTATAATGGGACGGTTGCCTTTAGAATCATCTGTGCCAGTTGTTGAATCCAGCTAGCTGCAATATCAATCATCCAGATTTATGCTAGGCTATGTGTTTAAAAGAAAGATTGTCCCTGATGAGTTAAGAAATACAGTCCCTGCTTTTCTCTTTAGGTGTTGCTTTATAGACAAATAGATTTAAGGGTAAACTATTATATGGTTTGGTGATGAATAAAAAATTAAAGGCTTAGGTAGATGGAGGCTGTGTCTGACAAGTGAAAAGGTCAGAAAATGTAAAATGACGATATAAATTATAATGATTTGTTACCATTTACAATTCCAGGCATGGTTTGCGAAAGAATATTTGATACAAGTACACACTTAGTTATTTGAGAGGATAAAAGTCTGTGTATATAATCTTAAGTTTACTTTTTGAAATTTTTTTGGGAAATGATGTCCTGAGCTATACATTTTTGAAATGCACCAGAATAATGTCTTAATTAGAACTTAACAATCACACATATATTTGTCTTTCGTAGAGCAGACTGGTTCAAAAGTTTTCACTTAGATATTTCTCCCGGACCTGATTTTCATTTTATCAATAACTCAATTTTCTGAGCTTGTTTTTCAGTTGTGATTGTCTTGTGACGTGATTATGTTGCTTGCAGGAAAAAGTTTTGGGCTCATCTGATCCTGATTCGGGTAAAGGAAAGAGCAAGATGAAGAAGCACATAACTCATGGCTTTCACTTAGTGAAGGGAAGATCAGGCCATGCCATGGAAGACTATGTTGTTGCTCAGTTTAAGCAAGTTGATAACAATGAATTGGGCTTATTTGCGATATTTGATGGCCACTCAGGTCACAGTGTACCTGATTACTTGAAAACTCATTTGTTTGATAACATCTTGAAAGAGGTAATACTGGGTTTGTCTTAAGTGGTTACTTTATCTTTGAGCTGCTAGATGTGAAACCTAAACTATATTTGATTTTGCAAGCAAATATGCTGGACTTCTAAGTCTAATTGAGAAGTAAAAGTGTATGTGCAAGTTGAATGAATTTGATTACTGTGTAATAGGAGTTCAAATAAATTACAAACAGATTTTGTTTTACTTTACTGTCATGAGAAGAATTCATGTATTCAATTTCCTTTTTCTTCTCTACATTCTGGTATATTTTCCTCAGCCATTTGTTTTGGCTTTGCATATTTATCCCTTTTTACTTTTAGTTTGATGTGGAAACATAAACATTTACTTCTTACGCTGTCACCCTGTTGTAGATTATCATGTACAATATAATAATTACTTGAAAAGTCTTGTTAAGTGTCATTTCTAATTAGTTAACAAAATTAAAAATGTTAATGTTAAAAATTAAACTTCCAATGTAATACATATATCTAACTCTTATTTTCCTCCCCATTTCTTCATGTAGCCTAACTTCTGGACAGAACCTGCTGATGCTGTCAAGAGAGCGTATAGTATAACTGATTCAACTATTTTAGACAAATCAGGTGAATTGGGCAGAGGGGGTTCAACTGCAGTTACAGCAATATTGATCAACTGTCAGAAGTTAGTGGTGGCCAATATTGGGGATTCCCGGGCTGTTTTGTGCAAGAATGGCGAGGCCAAACAACTATCAGTTGATCATGAACCAAGCATAGAGAGTGAGGATATAAAAAACAGAGGTGGTTTTGTGTCAAACTTCCCAGGTATGACATTTTAAAATGTAGTATTATTTTACCTTGATCTTTATTAAGTGTTGCACATTGTGTCAGGTGTGGTTATCCTTTACAAAATGTCATGTCTTGTCAGTTTATTTTTAAGTGAGGATCACATGACACATTTTTATTACTAAATATTTTTATAAATAAGGAATCAAAAGGAGGCAATTTTTTTTTTCAGACTAACACTGACGATTTTTATATTTGCATGCAGTAAAAATATTTAACTTCTATATTATTTTATTCCGTTATGTCCATAACCACATTTTAGATCTTCCTTTTTTCTTTTTTATAATTTCTATACTAGAACAGCAAATAAATAGGAGTGCTAAACCCATTCTTTCAAATATATATTTTTTATTAAGTAAAATATCTTGAAAATCAATAAATTAGCAAAGAAAATCAGTAAATAAGACGTGTAACTCATAATTTTTAAATTTTTCAATAAATTCCATCCATTAAGAATAGAATGTATCCAAAAGATAAAATTTCTCTTATTATAAAAGTTCCTCATGAGAGGATTGATTTCGTTTCAGCAAGTGTATGTTAAAGGGTGTCTTCTATCATAAAAAAGGTTGCTCATGACATGATAGGCTTCATTTCAGTAATTCACTGCTAAGGATACTACTTTACTAATTCAAATAGGGGACGTTCCACGAGTTGATGGTCAGTTGGCAGTGTCAAGGGCATTCGGTGACAAAAGCCTGAAGATTCACTTGAGCTCAGAACCACATGTGATTGTGGAACTGATAGATGATGATGCAGAGTTCGTTATTTTAGCTAGTGATGGTTTATGGAAGGTAATATTCAATAAACAAAGAAATGTTGAAGAAAGAAATCATGTTACTCACACCTAATGAATGTGTCTTGTTTTTCTAAACACCAAGATACATGCATATTCTGCACTGATCATGTTCATTGAAATCATTGAAGGTAATGACAAATCAAGAAGCAGTTGAAGCAATCAGAGATGTTAAGGATGCTCGGTCTGCTGCAAGGATCCTAACTGAAGAAGCACGTAACAGGAAAAGCTCAGATGATATCTCTTGCGTTGTTGTGAAATTTCAGTGATCACATAACTCACATAGTAGATTTTCATCTACCAACTTGAAAGTGTAACATAAACTTTTTAGTATATAGATCAATGGTGATACCCTTGTGGTGTTATTTCATGTCAAGTCATTCAGTGTGCGATATTTATATATGCTTTCATACAAATCACCCATGTGAGAATGTGTTGTTTGATGTACCAATGTAAAATGGTTTTAGTTTTGGATTGTGTAGACCAAAATAATTCCTATGAATGCAATCAAGTTTGAGTAATTTCTATCATCTTGAACAGAGCCTTTTGGAAATTTCACCTTAGCCATTTAGTTTTTTAGATAATCCATTTGTGTCTATTAAAGAGGTGAGCACAAACTAAAACTAAAATTTGTTTTTCCATAACTTTTTTTTCATTAAAACTGAAAATTTAGAGCTTTTATGTGAATCTATTTCCCTAAAAATTTAGCTTATATTTTTTTTAGAAAAATAATTTTTAATTGCTCTTTTTATTGTTAACTTTAGTTTTTTCATTATAAATTGAATTTAACTTATTAATAAATTTATTTTAAATTTTCTTCTTATTATTAAATTTAAGATTTATTAAATTTATAAAAATAAACTTTTTATTTTTAATTTATCTATACATTTAATTTTAATTTATAGATAACATATTATTTTTAAAATTGTGGATAAGAATATCTCAACTCTTTACTATAGAACTTATATATTTTGACAGTGAAGATTTATACTTTAGATAATTCGAATGAAAGATAATAATTCATTTCTGACAAATATAAAAAACAAGATTAATCAACCTTTTTGCTTAATAAATTATATAATATAAACTTCTCCAATTTAACTATTAAATTATTAATATCATCTTACAATCACATCTATGAATTTATTTTAACATTTAGTGAATATATTATTTTTCAATAGACGTTTATTTATATTTTGAATAACATATTATGTATTAACATAAAGTTGAGATAAAGTATTAATTAGTTTTTATTTACATGAAATTTTATAAACTTAATTTACTTTATAAGAGAATTTAGTTCATAGTTAGAGATTAACTATTGTTTAAAAAATATAATAGAAAATAATTTTATATCCAACATGAAATTATTAAATAGTATATGTGTTCAATTGATGCACGTGTGTTGTATTTGGACATTATAGGCTCTTTTCTGTTTTTAAATTTTTAATCTTCTGCATTCTTCACTCACCCCAGAGCCTGTCCCACGTTGGTGGGAAATTGGGCAACAGTATACATTTTGGTTGTACTTTGGAGCCCTTTTTGAATGAACTGGGGCATGACTGTTTGCGAACATCCCTTGGCCTGAAGGGTAGAGGGTAGGTATGGCTTTGCATAAGCCAAGACATTTGATCATGACACAGCAGAGAAATGAAATTACAATTTTGTCCCAGAATGATCCCAGCCAATGTTGTATAAGCTTTGAAAGTTTCATCTACGTACTTAAGTCTTTTGTTGGCAGATTAACATCTTCAAAAGTTTAATTTGTATAAACACACATTATTTCTAAACTAAAATACGTAACATCTTTTAAAACAACAAATCATCATGTATCTATTTACTTTGCATGTTTGGTCCCCCTTTCAGTCACTAACATATTTCAGGACTTCCTCAATAGTAACCAGAGGTTCAAATATATGAGAAAATGGAAATAAAATGTACCCTCTACAGTAAACCCAAAATAGATTTGTGAATATAAAATGTATCTTTTTGAGTAACTAGTTTGAGTTTCAAACAGAATCTAGCACCTAATGGTGTAGTTTGTTAGCATATATAGCATGAAAGAGTAATGAAAATACGAAGTAATCCAAATACAAAGGTGAATAGCCAAAAGAAGCAAGAGCTTTTTATTCTAATCAGATGGAAGATAAGATCACACCATTCAATGGTGCTTCAATAGGATAACAATGGCAAGGAAAACAGAAACAAAAAAGGCACTCTCTAAATAAGAAAACATAGAGCTCAGGATACTAGCTTACATTGCATAGGACACAAGCTTTGGATGATGGGAGTCTTTTTTTAGTTTGATTCTTGCTCATATGAACAAACAAGGTGGTCTTTATTATATATGCCTTGGCGTGTAAGAAACCAGAGGGTGACAGAAGAGAGAGAGCTTGTGAAGATTTTGGCTTCATCTGATGTTGAAAGACTTGTAGCCTGAACTCCCTGGCAGGTTCATCTGAATTCTCCCCCTCTCATCAGCAAGCCTGCAGTGTGTTGTTTCCTTAGGGTGCTGATGCCCTTTGCTGCTTTGGCTGCTGCCCTCACTGGCAGCTTCAGGGTTGCTTTTCCGGCGCCGTTCATTGTGTCCGGCCAACCGCCTCCGGCAGCTTCTCTTAGACTCATCAAACTCTGCCAGGTCATGGAACCTGCATACACTCATCATAAGAAGAAAGCTTGAAGTTTTAACCGCTTGACACCCTTTATGAAGAAAAACTAACATAAGGAAAGAAAAGTGCAAGAAGGTGCAAACAACGAGGTTCAATTACTTGAAAGAGTGTTTCTGTTACATTCATAGATCATGTTTCCTTATTCCTTTGTCATAAATTTAGGAGCGTCCAAAATTTTATAGTCTTTGATCAAGGCGGATTTTTTGGTAAATAGTAATTTCGTCCGATCATTGACATTGTGAAAATTTTGGTAGAAATGTGATCGATACAGTCACAATTCTGGTTGTAGAAAGCTCAGAAACCTTGATGTTGTAGTTGAAATCATGGTTGTAAACCATATTTTAAAAGCTTGGACTCCTCTTTAATTGAAGATTTATAGGTTGTGCTAGTGATTCCTTTGGAACAAAAAAGCACAACTGCTAGCTTCAAAAGTAAATGAACTAAAATAAGATAGCAAGATCAATCCTACCATGCATAGTAAAATGCTAACGACAATATTCAAATTCACTCTCAAGAGAGAATGCTGAAGATGAGTGAGTGTTGTTGATTGAACAAACCTGCTACATTGCTGGCAAAACCTCTGCCTCAGCCCTGCAACAACCACAACAGGTGCTTTGGAGTGAAACTCACACACCTTGTGGCGGCGATGGTACTTCTTTGCATCAGTCAAATCAGCACCACACCTCTCAGCTTGACATGAAGGTGGGGAAACCCCTCCACCACCCCCACTTGACCCTCTTCTCCCACCACCACTATTGTTACTAACCCCTCTCTTCTTCTCTTCTTCAGTGAGACTGGCACCACTTTCATCCTCCTCTTCCACTTCATTTTCCACTTCCTCTTCCACATTCTTTCTCACTCTCTCAACCAGTGATCTCTTCCTCTCCACACTCCTGGCCTCCATTGTGGGAAAGGGTGGTGAATGGTGATGATGACAATGATGAGGGAGGAGTTAAGCTTGTTGTTGAGGCAGGACTTTTTGGAGCAATGAAGTGAAAGAGGGAGTTTATAGGAAGCAGAAAGGCAGAAAAGGAGGTGCAAAGGGTGTGGACCACAGGCTCCATTTTGTTAATTGTGTGCTTGTGTAAGCATAAAGGTAGAGGAATAGTGCATAGAGGAGGGTGTTGGAAATGTTTTGTCTTTAATGATAAGCTAATAGAGGAAAAGGTTAAATCTCAATTCTTGCAGTGAAGTGAGAGAAGTTGGAAGTGGGTATGGATTTTTTAATGAATGTTGTGTTGAAAATGATAGTGCTGTTGGCGCGTCAATCACAAACGCTTAACCATTGGTACTCAAGGAATTACAAATTGGAAGAAGAGGATTTTGCTTTTGTTTGTTCTTGTTACTTTGTTGTTGTTGTTGTGATTTCTGATGCTATGCAGAAGAAGGACCCATATCACATGCCTAGCCAACCCCTTCCTTTCAATCCTTTGTTATTACAAAATGATATTAGAACAATACTAGTAACTGAACGTGACTTCCCACACACACACTCTCAATAATTAAAATGCATATAAACAAAACTATATTATTATCTTATCTAGAGCTAGACTTACATAGGTTACCTTGATATTGATCCAAAATATACATTAGTTTTTTCAATAATTAACATCAATTGAGGAAGCTAGTTAGTTTCTTATAGCAAAGCAGCGTTGATATGCAAAGTTTCATGGAGAAATTTCACAACTAATCTAAAGAAGAAAATTACCAGCTCATATTTTTCACTGTCACCATGACAATTACATGCAGAGAGGTACAGCAGTAACATAACTGCATAAGTAAAGATTTTGAGTGGAATTAGGTAGTTATTGTCTCTGTCTCTGTTGTAGTTAGCTTTATTCATTATTGTAGTAAGATTGAGCATTAATTTATGTGCATAGGGTGAGAGCTACTGGTCCATTGAATTTTATATGTCTTATCCCCATAGTGTGAAGTACTCACTACTGCACTAGGCAAGGCTAGACCCTAGAGAGTAGAGACATCAAATTTTTTGATATGGAAGAAGAAAATTCACCTTTACAACATACACGAGCAGTGGCAAACTGTTCCCTTGTCCTTGGCGATCTTCTCATTGTGTCCTCTCTAACATAGCTTTTGTTGCATTCTGTGTGAGTCGTTGATGATGTTTATTGTGGGATTAAGCTGTTAAACTGTTTATCATTATGCACATAATTAATATTCTGGTAGAATCTTTGTGGTATAAATGATAACAAGTTGCAATAGTACTGTCATGGCCACAACATGTGGTGCTGACATGACCCAGCACGCTAGTACCGTGGTTTAACAAGATGCCATCGTACTCAGTACTTGATGCGAGTTTTCACCATGGACGGTATCTAGATATAGCGGACAAAAACAAACGGTTCAACCTTATCTATGTTCAATCATTGAGGATTTGGCTTCATGTCACCCAACTTTTATTCGCTTAAAACTTAGTGAACGTTGAGTTTGATCTTTAGAAAAATCGGTTTAGATTTGAAAAATGAAAACTACAAAAATATAACTTGGGTGTAAATTATGAATCTTAATATAATCTATGCAAAGGAAAGTTGAACAAATTGATGAGTTCACAATTCATAAGGACATTTCACAAGGACGCAACTTTGATTCTTATTATTTTGGTTCTTAACTCCAATTCATTCAAACTTTTGGTTTTAAAAAAAAAAGTCTAATGAAAGAATTTGCTTACTACTAAACTTTAGTTCATGCACGTGATTACTAGAAGTTTATTATTATTATTATTATTATTCTATGAAGAATATTATGTGTTAAAAAGATTTGTACGAAATTAAGTACCAAATTAGATGTCTACTTTCTATTCGTTAGCAAAGGAAAAGGACTTAACAGAAATCACGCAGTGTTAATGGTTTACAGTTTTCACCACTTTTCCGCAAAAGAAATCCGTACAATTTGGCAAATTTCTTCCTATTTTGTCACGTATCCAAAACCCTAAATCTTTATTTTGAGGAAAGAAAATAGGATTTGGTTACAAAAACACTTTTCAATTTTTATTTTTCCTTGCATGATTATTTAGGCAGTGTTTTAGTAGAAGAATTATAAAATTTCAACTCTGTTTGTTGGAGTATCTGAGTTCGATATTGGAAGTCGATTTTGAATAATGGGGAGAGAATAGACTATTTCTGATTTGATAGCACTTAATTGACTTCTGAAAAAAAAAAACTCTACAACAACGAATATACTGCACGTGTTTTGGTTGGTATGTTAACGTGACAAGAATTTTAACTAGATTTTTCTTTTGTTTTCAATACTCAAGATTTATCATTCGTTTAAGTCTTCATTAAAAAAAATGACTAAATATTAGAACTCTATTATGAGTAACAAAAAAAAAGGTATACAATAACATAGTTTTACCCTTTTAAGATTAAAAACTCACAATCTTAAAATCCTTCTCATATATTTCTATGATTTGTTTTTTAAATTTAACAAACTAATTTCATTCGTTTTTGAAAAAAGAGAAAAACTAGTCGAACCAAACAGATGATATATATCTATATATATATATATATATATATATATATATATATATATAGAGAGAGAGAGAGAGAGAGAGAGAGAGAGAGAGAGAGAGAGACATGATAGATGATGTTGTTTAAGGTGAAAAGTGAAAAGAGGGTTGTAAAAAACATGGGCATGCTTAAAATTTGAATGATGCAAATCAATTTTCAGAGGCATAAATGATGCTTGGCCAGAAATGTACAACCATCCGTATAATACATCCACCTGAATATATTTTGTATTTGTTTCGTTTTCTGGTTTCCACTTTCCTTTCTGGCCATGATAATCAGAATTTCACACCTCACATATACTTCACCAGAAAAATCATGCCCATCACTCTCATTCTCACATTGACTTGCCTTTGGTCCCCCACTGCATTGCCCTTTTATTCTTCCCTGTTTACTTGTTATGCAGTGCAGTTGATGCACCATTCCCATAAAGCCTCGCTAGCTAGCCCATTAGCACTAGTTTTGAGTTCCACACGCACAACACATATACTGTTTCTTTCTTCAAAAGGCCCTTTTTCATCTGTTCTCCAAACACAATAATGTGTAGGACAGTTGTGAAGAATTCCATCTCATATGAATAGACAAAAGTGTTCTAGTGCTAGAGAATTCTTGTTGCTAAAGAATGATATATAGTGCATACAGCTGCATGGCTGATAAGATAAGAGGAATATAAACCATCATCTGATTCATGAGCGTGGAAGGTGATGTTGGTCCCCAAGGTTTGGCAACCCATATGAATAAAGCCTCTTAAATCATAGACTTGTTTTCACGCCACACTTTTGTCCCATATATGTTTTTCTTTTAACTCTAGGGTTTTTCTAACCTAATCACTTATTTATATATCATACTACTCAGTTTAGTACAAGAGATTGAGTTTTTTTAATATGTTTTTCTATTCACACAAATTTTACAAATCTGAAACCAATCTATCAATCATGGGTTTTGTGGCATATATGTTGGAGTTGCCTTTGGGACACAGAAAAACTAGCCATTGGGTTTTTTTCAACCTGCTTTTTTCTTTGATTTGTGGCTTGTCGTTTTTGCTACCACTTTATCAGAGGATTTATGGGTAAGAAACAGACCCAGGTATCAGATTCTGTTAAGTGTCACACACATATGTCTAATAGAATGATAATTGACTTGTTTTTGTTAGGATCATACCCGAGCCAAGTTGAGTTTCAGAATCTGTCATAGCCTGTTTCGATTTTAACCATTAAAATTATTAGTTGGGTTCGATTTAAAAGATCTAGAACCAGCTAACTTAATTTAGTAAAAGTGATAAATGAAAATGATTCAAGCTTAGTAAACCATCACCATGCTAATTTTTATTTATTAGAATAGCATTTGAGTAATTTTGGTTTATATATGGCTTGAGTATGATGAATATTGCTGTTTTCACAACCCTTCTTTACATAATTTTTGAAAGTTTAAGATGGAGTTGGAAGCACTAGGTAAAACTTTTTGAAACATGATCTTATATAATTTTTTCACTAAGTTTGAGTTTGTTAAGGCATGGAAAAATATTTTTGGAAGAGACATTTCCCTAAGTTAGGCATATTTTGTTCTGCACAAAATTAGACTACCTTATTAGTAAGTGACTTCGACAGAACTTCAGTGGGTAGGAAAAGACGTCAATAACATCTTTATGCATTTGTGGGAACTTAATGTAATTGATGGAAATGTAGAATGAACAAATTCATAGTAAGATTTTGATTCTAGATTAACTTTCTTAATCATTCTCTTTCAGTTTAAGTTTTCTCTTAATCTGAATTTCATTGTCAACTTTCAACTTGATCAAAGTAAAAAAAAAAAAAAAAATTATTTAAAAGTAATGAAAAAGATGGTCAAGATGGAAATTAATGAACTTGAGAAGAAATTATAATTGTTTTTCAAATAATTAAATTTATTTTCTTCATTTTGATTTAAAACATAGCAAGTAAAGCCTCTCTCATTGAAAAAGTATTACCCACGTATTTGTTTTTTCCTTTCTTGTTAATCATATGAAGAATATGTTAAATAAATACCCATTTTATATTTTTTATTTAGTTTGACCATGGACTTGTGGTTACTAATATTGTCATATTTGTAAAATTTAATCAAGAGGATATAATAATTAAGATGTTTTTCTTTTAATTTCTCACTAAATTATATTTGTTACAAAACATAAAATTATATTTGTTACAAAACATAAAATTTTAAAGATTTTGATATTTAATCATCTGAGTTTAATATTTTTTTTTATGGTGAGAAATATAATTAGTTATGATGATGATTAATACATGCTTTGTTCTCTAAACAAATCAAATTATTAAGAATATGATAAACATAAGGAAATAGGAAAATGCTTTAGGTTGTGTACACAACGACCATTCATGAATTA